TTCATTAGCCAGTTGTTATGGCAATCAGCATTTCAGCCAATTAAAATGCTTCCTCGTAGCTTTAAAAGTGTCAGTGATGGGAATGGTGAAATGGCCAGAGAACGAACGTGAGCTGCAGCACAGGGCTCAAAACAAGAGGGGTTTTCTCTGCAGGTCGGTGGGTGAAGGATGAGAGCAAATGGAGTGAGATTCATGAACCTCTGTGCTGCAGTGCTGAGGAACGCTAAGTTGCTCAGCTCTGTGTGTTAATTAATGGAATTAATTGTTGTTGGCCATCTTGCATCTCATCATGCAGGTCACCCAAAATATTGCGTGGTCGCAGGGGAGGGCTCTGAGCTCAGCACTGTGGGTAGGCTCAGGCTTTTGCTCCATGTGCACTGGAAGTCCTGAGCCTGTTTTTAAGCTTGCTCAGAATTGGGGTACTTCTGAAAATTCAGCATTCTGTAGCTTACCAGCACCAAGACATCCTGAGTGTGAATTCAGGCTCTGAAGGAGGTGTTGGAGTTCATATCTCTGAATGCCAGAGGGGGTCAGAAGCCAGGGCAGCTCAGCTGGGTGAGGTGGGTATGCAGTGATGTGCATGGGTTGATGCAGGTGAAGCTTTTCAGGGGATAAACCTCTGTTCACAGCGGCAGGACAGGGCTGTTGTCCCTGTCTGTGCTGCTTTCAGGTGGCATCTATTGCCAGCAAAGAGCAGGATTGGGATTTGATGAGTCATGGGCTGCCTGGGGCTGGTTCTCCTCTTCTGCTCCACACCGCCTTTTGTGACCATTTAGAGGAGCAAAAAATAGCTCCCGCAGACAATCAGAGCAGATTATTTTAATGAGAGCTCAAAAATGAGAAACCATGGCTCAAATTGAGCCTTTAAACGTTTCTACACACATCTTTGTGGAGCTGAGCAATGCTTAAATCAGCAGGTCTGCAGCACGAAGCGGCTGCTGTCAGGAGTTGAGTTTTCAGCCCTCTTTTTTTTTTTTTCCCCAGCTAAACTGAACATCCTGAGCAAGGCTGCGTGCTCTCAGCAGCTCCATTTTCTGCCTGTAATTGTCTTTTATCTGCTGGAGTTGTCAGTGCCTGACTTGCATCTGCTCCTGATTCACTCAATGTACACATCAGAGAGGGAAACAATCATTTTTTCCCATATGTGCTTGAACAGGCAATAGGTAGAATGCAGCTAATAGCCTTTCAAACTCCTTTGCTTCTCTCTAGATTGTGTCCACCGTTCTGTTGGGTGTTACGTGCCGATTAGTTCTCCTTTTTCTTTCTTTTTCTTCTTTCTGTGCTGGTAATCCTTTGTGTGGCTTCCAGTGGAGCTAGACCAAGAGTGGGTCAGAGCTGCAGGAGACTGTTGTGTTTGCAGATTGTTTCCTTCAGTAGGGAATGAGGGTCAGCATCTGCAGCCCATGCAAAGTGCAGCACTTGGGCACAGGGCCGTGCACTTTGCAGCTTCTGTTCAGTCTCTGAAAATCTCCATTTTTTTCCCCTATTTTCTCTTTTTTTTTTCTTTCAGCAGTTAGTTACACAGCAAGCGACGTGGATGTATCCTACACAGCTTTTTCTTCCAACACAGCCACATAGAACCATAGAATATCCTGGGTTGGAAGCGGCCCATTAGGATTGAGTCCAACTCCTGGTTCCAAACCAAAGATTATCTCTGGCTTCTACCCCTACAGTTCCAAAAGTTTAGAGGAACAACTCTGTCTCACAGGAGCTCTCATCCACTCTGGTTTTTAAGGTGGATTCCTGAGTAGGGCTGCGTGGCTCGTTTCAGATGTTCAGCCTGGAAGTGGAAGGTTTGCTCTGACATAGCACTTTGTCTTTGCCACATTATCAAGTGTTCCCTGCCACCCATAAATATATTTTCCCCTACTTTTATTTCAAACATCGCTCACAGTTGGTGATGACAGTTCCAAAAGCTTCAGAGCTGCTTCTAGATGGGCAGGAAAATACCATGGGTACTTGTTTAAACATCAGAAAGGTATTAGCTCAATTTCTCACTTCAGTGCTACCAAGAGTGTTTAGGCCCATTGGGCATGAATTTAATTTTCTACAGGCTGCAGAGAGGAGGAAAATCAGCTTCCCGATCTTAGCATTAGCTCCTTCTCATCACCTTCCCAAAGCTCCAGGCTCAGAGTGGTGCTGAGATTGGAGTCGATGCCCCGAGCTGCTCCCTGTGCTGTTTTGGTGAGCAGTGCTCCCTGCTCCCCCAGCAGCAGGAAGACCTGGAGGCACCACATCAGTGCTGGCAAAGGTATTTCAGTGGTGTTAGCAGAGCAAAACAGCCCATGCCGAGCAGTGCTGTGCAGGGAATGGCAGGCAAAGCCTTGTCTGAGTGCTTTTACAGCTTTAAGTCAGGAGTAAAACCAGACTTTCAGTTTTTTTAGTGTTAAGGATGTGTTTTGTGAATAGCCATGAAAGTAGGCAGACTGTTTTAAAGGCAGCTTGTTGCCTTGGTTGGGTGTCTCCGCTTTTGGTGCAGAAGTGGAGTGAAGCTCTGAAGGCGTCAGGGCATCACCCAGCTCTTTCCAAGGATACAGGAATGTCAATAGTCCTTGTCACACATAGGGGAAAAATTGCCTTTTAATGGTCAATAGTAATAACCAGTCTGTTTAAACTTTCATGATGAAGGTATATACAATCTATGGCCTATGAATTATGCACATCTCCCTGGAGGCAGGGAGGTGACTGTGGTCCCCAGCCCGCTTCTTCCTTCCCAGCTCCTCCCCATGATGGGGATGTGCCCACCCTGATGCCAGCAGGACCTGGCGAGAGCAGCACCTCTGCTGGAACCCAGTGCAGGCAGTAAGTGTCATAAAAACATCCATTTAATAGCATTTTGTGTACACACTTCAAAAATATCTCCATCATCTCCTTTCCACTTCTTTGTCGCCTGCGGAGTGTGGCCATAAAAGGGCCATATATTTTGGAGAGAATTTCCAGCTGTGACTGTGGATGCCCAAACATCTCTAACAGAAATGCACTCTGGAGTGACTTAAAGCTCAGATTTAGAAGCTGTGCTGAGGTTCAGATAAGCCTCAGGAGAGCATCCAGAAATTACAGATTCCTTTCTGTCCCTTGCCCAGACTTTGAGTCCTTTGAAGTGTGCCCAGGGCTGCTGGGCAGGAGATCAGCTGGGCTGAGATCAGAGCCGCAGGGAGAAGTTCTGAATGATGAACAGAGCAGTGCATGTTTGTAGAAATGGGGGAAAAAAGGCAGATCCAGTGCTGCTGGCCAACACTTGTTGTAACAAAGCTTGTGTAGAGTTTCACAGCAGTGGTTTGCAACGCCTTGTGTTGTAGGAGAACCTGATTGAGGTGCAGGTGGAAAAGCATCTCGATGAGAGTGAATGATTAAAGAGTAAAGGAAGGAAGAAGATCCACATGTAAAGAAGAGAGAGTAAGAATAGACTTTGCTCAAGTAAAACTCACAGTCCTGAGCTCTGGGGAGATGTGTAGAAGGTTGGCTGAAAGGTACTGGAGAGGAACTCATCAGGTGAGGGTGATGGACGTGGTGCTTAATGGAGAACCTCCTCTGGGTGCAAAAGGACCAATTGAAAGGTGCCACCAAATTGCTGTGAGTTGTGCAGAGCTGAGATCAGGACGTGTTGTCACTGCTCCCTTGGCTGAGATTCTGTGGCTGCACCGGGTCCAAGCCTTCCCCTTTGCTACTCACATCTGCTATCTCAGCTGCTCTCTCGCACAGAAAGGCGTTTGCAGGAAGCTGGGAAGGCGGAAAGTCCTTATGGGGCCGTAACTTTTTGCCTTTTAAAAGTAGGGCGCTTTCAACACGGATCCGCGTTGTTCATAAAGTGAGCTCCCAAACTATCATTTCATCTCTCTGCCAAATCATAATCCTCTTCCAGCTCCCCGGGGTTCTGCTGGAGGTATTTGATTTGATTTTATTTTATTTTTTTTTCCCTCTGTCCCTTTCTTTTAAAACCCATTTCATTATCAAATGGCGTTAGGGGAACTGATCTGTAATGAGGAAGCTGGCAGAAGTCCCGGAGCGATCAGAGGGGCTGAGATTCACTGAGGTTAAGCTACTGCTCAAAGAAAAAAATATCGTAAGTAATTAAAATTAATTAAAAATCATTAAACAAGCCTTCGTTCTCACCACGTCACGTGCTGCTGAGTGGATTGCAGGGTCTGCCTCTGCTGGGGGCTGCGATGCGATGGTTCCATGCAGGTCACCATAGTTCTGCTCATAGGGTTGGTGAGGCTGTGGGTTGCGTGGTCCTCTTTGTGGGACAGAGCTCTTCTGATGCTGCCCAGCTTCCCTCGTTGGTTGCAGGACAGCAATTTAGTTTGTCTGAACCTGAGTCTGGAGCTGCAAAGGGACAATTTGTCCTTTCCTCTCAATGTGACGAGCATATTTGGTCCTGAATGTTGAAGCCTCGTTCCCACTTGGGATCTCCAGGCACTCGAGCACTATTGGCACTGATATTTCTCATACTAAGCCATGCTGCTCGTTCAGAGAAGCTCTTTGTATTTGCTTGAGCAATTGTCTCATTCCACTCCATAGAGGGGCAGGACTGTGTTCAGGACATCCCAACCCTGCTGTATGTTCTGCACACAGGGCTGTTTAACACTTCATAGCAACATTGGGAGCAACTGGGGCTGTTTCCTGCAGGCATCTGCAGAAACATTCCATGCCACGAGAGCTGCACAACCGTTTGCATCCCTGAGATCTTTTGCTGAGAAGAAATAATCCAAACCCACAGAAAAACGCTGTCAGTTCTCTACTGGTGTGTGAGGGTGCGTGGAGCTCCTCGTGCTGTCACACTGCTTGACAACTTGTGCACCACGAGTGACCTGAAGTTTAAGCTGTCAGTGTTGTTATCGTGTTCTAGAATCGCTTATTCCTCCATGGCTGCTTCCCATGTCCTGCCTGTGCGTGGAGCCAGGCGGGAGATTCGGCCCAAGTGACGGCAGTGATGGTTCCAGCTGGGGAGAGGCCATCACCCAGTTTCCATGGTGACCGAATTACCTCTTTCGTTCCAGGTCAGGAGGTTAAAATCATTGATGAGGACTCTCCAGCGGCTGGTTGTGCATCTCATCTCCCCTCATTGTCTGCTCCCAGCCCTGCTGAGGACAAGAAGAATTAAGGTACCCCTGAGAGCGGCTAATTGCAAAGATAGTTGGGTGCTGTCAGTGTCTCCTCCCAGTTACAGGCAACAAATGGTCGGTCCTCCTTGTCGGTGTGTTTCTGGTTTTGTTGCTTATTTAGAAGACAAGTGGCTGTGAATGGCTTTGGGTTTTTTTTTTTCTGCCCAAGTGTGGTTTAATAAAGGAGGCACAGAGGGGAGGTGGATGTGTTTTCGCAGTTAAACTCTATCCATGTCTCCTCGTAGGTAGGGAAAATGAAACAAGAAAACAAATATCGCTTTGATAGATTCACGCTATCTGCATTTAAAAGTACCACTACAGAAAGCACAATAACATTTCATAACTCTCTCACTGCACAAAGCCACACTGGGCAATGCTACCGTAAATTATTTCCTCCTGCTGCTACATTTCAGATTCCTTATTTTTCTGGATTTCATATCTCTGGGCCTTCCCACGTCTGAGATTCGCTGCATGCAGCAAGGCAGGCTAAACCCCATATTCAATTCTCAAAATATTAGCTCAGTCCTCAAAGCAATATTTGATTTATGGGATGCTAAAAGAATATAAATAATTTCTTCTTGTCTTCACTGGATTAGTTGCCAGATGCAAAGCTAGAAATAAGGGATAAAAGGTCCGTGCTTGCTGTCGGGCATAGAAATCCTTTAATGATTTATTAATGTCAACGTCTTTATTTTTCATACAGTCCATATTTCTATACGTGTCTGTTTGTTTTGGTGCACAAAGGTCAATCTTTGTGAAACAGGCAGAAGGATGTTTAAAAGTGCCCAGAAACCTCAAAGCACTCTTCAGATCTGTAGCCCATAGGTGCTCCTCTCCTGCCTGCAGGGCTGGCTGTGGGGTTATGGGGCTGAACCTAGGCAGTGTCAGTGCAGGAGGAGCTGTAGTGCAGTGTTGGTACCTGGAACGTGGCTCAGTTTCTCTGCTGGTGTCCTCTGATGCCTGTGCAGGAGCTGCAGATTGCACTGTAGCCCATTGCAGGTCACTTTCTGCTCGTTCCCATATAGCTGCTCCTGTTTTAGCACCAGCAGAATCACCTCTGTGGTGTTGGTGGTGTTTATTCTGTAAAATTACAGTTGCATAGTAAGTAATTAATCACATTACAGGTTGTTATCCTTGTCTTGGCTGGGTGACCAGCATGGCACAAGGGCTGGGGGGTCCCTGTGCTGTTTGCTGTGTACGGAGCCAGGGCATGCAGGGAAAAGGCACGTTTTCAGACTGAACGTAGTGCCATGTGTGATCTGTGTGGAATGGAAGTTATACTCAAAAGGGAAAGAACATCCCAACCCAATCTCTCCTGCGTCTCGGCTGCCTAAGCTCCAGAAGTGGTATTAAATCGCAGCTAAGGCACTGAAATGCTCTTAGTTCAGCTCGGAAAAGCTTCTTTGCTCATAGTCAGGGATTTATATCCCCTGGTTCTGGAGAATGATGAAGCATTCTGTTGGGGGGCAGAGGGCTGCCTCTGCCTGCAGGCACGAAGCTGCTGTGGTCTCAGCGACTGGTGCTTTCTATGGGGGTCTGGTGCCTGCCTTGCCCTGAGCGTGGTGCGTCGCTATGGGCAGCATGGAGGTCCCCATTCTTTCCTTGGGATGTAATTCACTGAAAGTTCCCCAGGTCAGGAAATGGGCAGAAAATATGATTGGCCTACGGTGAGCTCAGCATGTAAGTGCATGTACAATAGCACGTCCAACTGCAGTCCTGGGTTAGGACTCAGCCTGTGGACTTGGTGCTGCAATTGGAGACGAGGGTCTGCTTAAAGGGAATTGCAGAGCTGTTTGCTCAGACCTGAAATCAGAAGTGCAAGAAAACTTGCCAGAAAATGAACGACTGCAGTGTTAGCAGTGTGGAGCAGAGAGGAAAATGAGTGTTTACTGTTCTAAGTGGAGAATGCTGTGGTGCGTCTGTGTCCTTTGCTGCATTTCTTGCCTTTATTAATGGCAAACCTTCCCACAGTGAACTTCTCCAAGCAGATTTTCTAGCGAGGGCTGACTCAAGCATTATGTCTTTGTGAAGAACACACAGGCGTGTTATTGCTCACTCATAAACAAATACAAAAGTTATTTTCCATTATCAGATGCAGCAAAGGAAACTGAGGGAGGGGAGCTGTAGATGCAGGCAGAGCTGTCACCTGTCCCTAGTTGAGCTTAAATGGGGAATGCACTTACAAGGAATGAAAGAGATGCTTTTTTAAAAACGAATTGTATTTGCAAAGCATTCAGTATCTGCAAAAAGCACGTGGAAGAAATCTAATACAGAGCAGATCTGTCTGACAGCACAGCTAAAAACCTACTGAGGTGGGAGTGCCTGTGTATGCAGCTAAAAAGGGCTGTATTCAAATGGAGAAGTCGGTCTTTTTTATCGTGACAAAACTCTTCCTTGAAGTCAGGAGACTTTGGGCAGTTTTATAGATGTGGTGGTTTGTTTTTTTTCTGGACTAAAAAAGTTGTTGCCTATAAAGCAGGGTCTTTTAGTGGGAGATGTTGTCTAAATAATTCCATGTCGCCAAGCGGAATGCTGATTTCTAAGGGGAAAAAAAAATACACGCAGCAAGCTTCAAGTCTCAGATACAGTGACCCACAAAATTGCTTATGAATGTGTCATTAGTTTGAGCTAAAAGTTAATAGAGAAGCTGACTGGCCTTGGGGGACTCATAATAGGATACAAAGCCCTTCTGCTTTAGGGCAGTGTTTCAGAATTGGTCTCAGTCTGCAGTGGGTTGGAAGGAGCTCTGTGTGGTGGCTATTTGTTGGTCTGAGTGAGATAATGGGTAGATGAGTTGCAGCCTCATTCCCCGTGAAGCCTGGATCTGGAATTATTGTGCTGAATATGGAAATGCTCAGAGGCCACGGAGGGTGTTTGGATGTGTAATTCCTGGGCAGTGTACAAGCCTGCACCTCTGAACGTAGACAGACCATATATACAGAAGCACATGTGATGCTGCTGCACAGAGATGCTGTGTTAAAACCAAACCTGAACATGGGCTCTGCATCCCCCCCCAACTCCCCTCCCAGTCTGTCTTTCTGCCATGTTTATCCCTTTCACCTGGAGCTGTGCAGCTGCCCTCGTTTCCAAACCTCTCCAGGACCTCAGCATAGACGCACATTTTGTGCACGAATGTCTCCATGAGAATTTTCCCCATTCCCTTCTTCCAAGAGGAGCACCGTGCTTTGCTGAGGAGGATTTATGGGCGGTGCATCCAATGGGGGGTCAGGAGTTAATTTCCTGAACGTACGTTTCAAATTGTCCTGCAAATTCACTCATTGACTTTTTAACGGGAGAATAAAAACTCTTCAAGGAGAGGCAGAGCTTGGTGGGTTTGGTGTATGCACTGTGCTCCTCCTTTCTGCAGTAATTTATCAATAATTCCATTGCTCAGAGGGCTTTGGAGTATTGGCTGTGGAGCTTTAGCACAAGCAGAGGAAGAAAAAAAAAAAAGGATTAGATTAGAGGATTAGACATTAGACATTTATATGAATATGAATAGTCTTTGCAGCTACATCAGCTAGGAGAAAATTACATGGAGCTGATAATCTTCATGCTTCAGGGCGTAAGCTGATCATGAGAGCTGGTCACGTTATTTGTTGGGAGCCATTTATTTGAGGAGTTCAGGCCTTTTCTGTTTGCGTGCGGATCGTGATTTTTATTGAGGCTTTCCTTATCCAGGTCTGTCTGGCAGCGCTTGCAAGGCCAGGGCTGAGCTGGGGATGGTTTATCACGGTGTGCAGTCGGTCATTGGAAGCACTCAAGGCCAGGTTGGATGGAGCTGTGAGCAACCTGGTCTGGTGGGAGGCATCCCTGCCTATAGAAGGGAGTTGGAGCTGGGTGATCTTGAAGGTTCCTTCCAACCCAAACCATTCTATGCTTTCCTAGCTAGGATTGAGTCTTCAGGACTGGAGGTGAGAAAAAGACAAGCTGTGGGTAGCAGCAGTCTATATCCATTAAATCCTCATTCCCATGCATATATGAGGATATTTCCCCCCTTGGTACGTTTCTGACCTGCTGACACAGAAAGGATGGGAGTAAAAAAGTGGGGAGATTGGTACATATTAAAGGCAAATTAAAAGATGTGCAAAGGACCAAAGCGTGCTGCTGAAAAACCATTAGGTGCTGATTTACAGTTTTGTGATGCGAGTTTGTTTGCTCTGTGATGGAAGAGATCACAGCATCTATCACCTTCCATGATCTGTTTGGAGAGGCTTGCAGGACCACGGAAAATCTCTAATTTAGATTGAGTTGAGTAAATCCTCATGTGTAATTAGTATTTCTTAACTGTTGTCCAGCAGTGTCTAGCAAGGCAGGGGAGGTGGGTGGCTGCTTGTCCAGCACCAATGGACTCTGCTGGTGGTAGGTGGCAAAGAAGGAGAAGCTGAGAGTGGGAAGTGCCTGTGGATCCGACGCTCAGCCCATCCATGTAAGATGTGGCTGCCCAGGCACTGAGCTTTGGAGGTCAGTGGGGACAGCAGCACTGCTTGCCAAGTTCCATTGGAGCCTTCGATGAATAGCTCTGAAGAAATCATGCTGCAGTTGCAAGAAGAAGTGGATGCAAGTGGCGGTTTTCCTAACGTGTCTGGGTAGATTCCTAAAATGTTGTGGAGGAGGAACATGTGTGGCTGTGACTTTGCAAACAGCCACGTTCTGCACATCCCATCGGTGAAGGCAGCAGCTGGGCCCCCAAACAGAACGATGCCTCCGGACTGAAATTCAAAGTAATGCCCATGGGAAGCACAGCCCTCGTTGTGCATAGCAGTGAGCAGGATGGAGGCTGCTTCAAAAACTGCTGGTCAAGTATTTGGGCAACGCTCTGCAGTCATAAGCTGGAGCCTCAGCAAAGGCCAAGAGGTGAGCAGAGCTGTACATGAATTATTGAGGAGGAAATAAGAGACAAAACAAACAAAAGGAAACCTTCTGCACCTTCATAAATCCTCGGTGTGCTCACAGCGACAGCACTGGTGCCAGTTGTGTCTTCCAGCAGCAAAATGAAC